AAAAAACGAGTGCAGCCACGGACCATGTCGGTGCAACGAAAGGTGTTCTCGTTCTTCGTCGCTTCTATGTGAGACGAAATGATTTTCTGATATACTCCCACCGTCGTGCTTCACGTGAATGGTTTAGCACCCAGAGGCGCGTGTGACATGTTAGTATTAGTTGAAAGACACATCTCTAAGTGTACCATCCCATAAAAGAAGGAATGTTATCCACGAAGCATTAGGTTGATCTATACTAAAGAGCAAGATAAAGAAGGGAAAGTGAGAGACGAGCCTTAAAAGCAGGTCTTCAGCCCTCGAGGGACACGCGGGAAAACGAGAAGCCGGACGAGAAGCCGGATGCCTCCAACGATATCGTAGGAAATCGTTGAAGCGTTCTCTAGGCGTCATTAACGCCTAGAGAAGAAATGCAAGGGGAAAGGCGCAACTTTTCCGAGAATCCATCATGTCGAGTCTTCAACTTGGTCTAATTTTCCCCATAAATTTAGGGAAGATGCCAATTTGCCACGATATACGTCATTAGAAGTAGCAAAGATCTCAATGATTAAAAAAGAGAATATAGATAGAATCCAGCTAGAATCGAACGCATGCGAAAAAAAAGTTTGTCCCAGAAACTTGGAAGGAATACAAAGACTTGATTTCTTCCAGTGGAAGAAATCTCATTTGATTCGACGAGGAGGAATGTCGGTCAGTGAAAGAAAGGAATTCCTTAATAGTAGTGGATTCGTATCAAAGAGATCCTGAAGAAACGTTCGTCCGTCTTGAGGAAAGCCATTTCCCTATTTCCCTCCCTTGAAAGTAATTTTTTCCCGCACTACAGACGAAGACATCTTGTTCATCCACTCTGTTGGATGAACAAGACCCTGCCCCCTGTCCTGCTTCATGTTCTAGCTCACATATTGATTGTGACTTTTCCGGGCTATCTATGACGCAGTGATATGAGAAGAGATAGAGTATGGTAATATAAAATAGGAAAGAGTTGTCTCATTTTCATTAATTTTACGTTTGATTTACGTTTAATTTTACGTTCCGATCGAGTCATGCGCAGATGTTCAGGTGCGATCATCATCATCATAATTATGCATGCATGCAATCGTGATAGGGCAGAGGAAGGATTTCTGTGATCTCTGAAAGGCCCTGCATCCTGGTCGCCGTCGCTCTCATTTTGTTAAGAATCAATGCTTGCATCATCGCGATCCACTCATGAGCGGAGAAGACGCAGCAAGTGTCGTCGTTGCTTCGAATGGCCGAGTCATCCGATGGCCGAACGGATTGTATTTTAACCTCGGCGAAGATACACGATGAACTTTACTTCCGTTCCCTACGGTACGGCTTTTCGGGCGTAAATTTGCCGAAAATAAGTCGCTCTTCTGAAAGAGTCTCATTGCAAACTGAATCAACCTTTTATTTCGCAGTTCCGAAGAATTCTAATTGAAGAAAGGGGAAAGGTTTCTGTTCCAAAACTGGCCTTCCTCTGTCGAAGAAATGCCTCAAAAGAGGAAAAAAAAAACATGAGCCCAGAATGCCTTTCGGCTTGGATGTCTCCATCCCGACCTCCTCTCGATGATTCTCGAGTTCATCGAGAAACGCACGATCGAGTCAGATATCTTACAGCATCCAAGAAGCGAGAACGAAGAGCCGGAAGGCGTAAATGCATTCGGCTTCCTTCTCTCGTGCTATTGCGGAAAGCGCAGTTGGATATCCTCCAACTGCACATACTTCGCAGTACTCTTTCTTCATCGTTTTCATCTTCGGCAATCGGAGCCAGGCAGCAAGATGCTCTGACATCTAATCATCAGCTGCGAACAGGCAGTTGATGAGATATTTATGAGAAATGAGATTTTCCAGTCTGGCTCCCTGATTTCTTATCGACCCTAGCAATCTGTACGGCCGCTTACGTTTCGTTAGAAACGTACGACTCTGCTCGATCGCACGTTATGGAATGGTGCTAGCTGGTGTGTCCAAGAAATTTTGATGAACAAATAAAACTTTTCCTTCTGTAGGCACATAGAACAGAAGGGGGCCAGGAACTCGTCCATTATTTGCAACGTTTGGAAAATAAGTAATCTAATCTGTCTTGTCTCTCTCAATTTTTTCCCGTTTAATGCCTCAGGGTGGGTTTTTGAACAGAGCACTATCCAAAGATGCAGCTTTACTTCAGAGAAAATGCATTATAAATCCAGTAAATAAAGCTGCATTATCGGATCGTGCTCTGTTCAAAAATCCACCCTTAGTCTTCAGATTCGAACGTTAGAAATGCGCAAGGTTACATGCGAATGTTTTCGGCTAGTACTTGGTCATAATTTTGCACTGTCATTGACGGCACTATGCACGAGGATCATTTTCGTCGTCGGAGTGGACGAGAGATTCAACCCCATACACATCACTTGCTCGTTTCCTTTCCTAAACGGAAGCCCCCCCCCCCCCCAACAAAACAGCTATTCCAAATCTACCTACGAATGCGTGAAGAAATAACGATGAAAATGCTACGTTTTATTCGTCCGTCAGTGAGTCCTGGCAGCTCACGAAAAAGCAACTGGTTCCTTATTTAGGTTGAGAGGCCTTTGCACCGTCTCTTCAAATCATTCACAGTATAGATTTCCCAGTTATAAAGAGTCTAGTTTTCCTCTCGTTTCCCACAGTGCAACGATCTGTAAACGTTTTAACATTTAAATTCAGTGTCTACCGAAGGACGTTCTTTCTCTGCAGGAACCTGCAGAGAAAGAACGTCCGAAAGAAAGAAAGAAAGATAGCCTGCAAAAAACTTTATAGCATTTTTGAAAGTTCAATTGGCGGCACATTCTCTGCTCCTCATTCGGCTTTTTATCGCGATTCCAAAGATCCCTTATCATGAAATCCTTTCGGTTCCATATCAGATGAACAAGGAATATTCCGTCCATCTGACGATGCGCAAGCCGTGGTCCGGTTTTCCACGGTGATGGTTTCGAAGGACAAAAAGGGCAAGGAACTTTTTTTGTGCTTATATTAAGAAATATTGCGCGAAGGGCGGAAAGGAGATAGCTTTTCTCTACGATTAATTGGGTTTCCTCGATACATAAGAGGGATTTATGGACGGCCCCAAAATTACCTCACCCACTTGCAGATGACAAGCACTTGATGGATTCAACCAATAACCTATCGATCTAATTCCATGATGGGGCACCTGGAAGAATCGGTTAAATTGGTTTAATTTCATTAGAGATGGATGCATTAGTCCCTATAGATATAGTTCGTTCGGGGTTCTTGTTCGGAGAGGGGAAGAGAGAACGAAAAAGATTCATTTAGCGTGAACTGTCGAGGAGGAATTTCTCTTGTCTAATAAACATCTTGGTAGCCGCAACGCATTTTTCTGTTGATTCTCTGGATCCAAAGACTGACGCGGCCTGGAAAAATCGTCGCAGTGTCTGTCATAGGGACTGACGGGAATTTAGAATGAAATCAATCGGTGAATTGCATGGACCGACGCGGTAGCAATCGCTGTATCCCGCTGCTGTTGTAGGAATTTCTCATTTGTACAGCGCTTCTCTAGATTCTTTGGGTCGATTGCGTGAACGATGTTTATTTTAGACATTGATTATCGATAGTCATTGTTTAAACATTGTTTACGAAAACATCGGTTAACCGCTGTCTACTTTCGATTGCGTGAACGATCCCTAAACCATGTTTTCATAGCCGACGGTTAGACGATGGCTAAACATAGTTTATGTTTTAAACTATGAACATAGTTTTATAGTAAATCATGGTACATATAGCACGTTCTGACTCCTCGGTTGTCGCGTAATATACTACGGACTCCACAAAAAACGAGCGAATCAAGTGAAAAAGGAGAGCCTTTCCTCAGACTATTAAGTACATCTCGCAGAGCTTGTAAAGGAGAATCTCACGATAGAGAGAGAGACAAGAATACGCTTTCCTTGCACAACAAATAATCATGCCTGGAAACTGGTGAGTTCTCCTTACTCTGTATTTCGATATATCAGAGGTAAAGCCAACGACTCGTTTTGGTCACACGGAGAAGTAGGAAATGAGAAAAATAGGAGTTTCATTGGTGTACGATTGCAAAATGAGGATATTTGGGAATTGCGTGTGGATCCTGGTCACGTGATGACAAATATGACAAACTCAGTCATAATCCCTTCCGCATCACGCACTGCTTGGACATCGATGAAATAGAAGCATTTGCGATTGATTAAAGTTGTCTGGGCATTCTATTCGAGTACGACAGTCGTCGATGACACCGACCACTCCTGGAAATTACCTATGTTTATTCCCCCCAATGCGACGACGAGAGCACATCGCCGTTATCGAGCGGATCCATAAACAGAATCCATTGTGCTTCACCAGTACACTGCAGCGCTATACTCATCGAGATGGTACACGAACGCTGGCATAAAAATCGGCAAAACATGCCCCATCCCTTGTCTGGAAACGACACCTTTTTCAGCTTCTGTTAGACATCGGTTAGACAATGGTTAAAGGAAGATAGCGTTCATGCAATCCATTTTTGGCCTTGGACATCGGTTAACCGATGACTTTCGAAAAACACCGGAAAAACATCGTTCATGCAATCGGCCCTTTGTGGTTGAAATTAGTCAATTAAATTTGGAGACTGAACGAGTCCTAGGAGGAAAAGAACGTGGGATAAAAATAAGATGAAGAGTTCCGAGACGCAGTAGCTTTTTTCGGTTCCTGAGAGCAATGCGCGAAAAGAGATAAACTTAAACGTGTGGAAATGAGAGAGAAAAGCACAGACGGATGCGTCATGTTAATGTCTTCCTAACGAACGAAAACGAAGAGAAGGAGAGATCCCGAGCTAAGGGCGAAACCATGTTTTCTGATGCTGCCGCGGTCAAACCGAGGTTACTAGGGCGAGCTGAACGAACCGTGATGGAGCAACTTCGAGAAATTCAATCCCCAAGCCGTAATTTAGAGGGACGGCCTCGCCCCCGATCGAGTGAGACTCTTAATGAACGAAAGGATTCCCCCGTGTCCTCGAATAGTGGCGGTGGTGATCGCGTTCTTCGTCTGCTGGGCCCCTTTTCACGCCCAGAGGCTCCTGGCCATCCACGGGGACCAAATGCGGCCACTGGACATCAAGGTCTACCAGGTCTTGACCAACACCTCCGGGATCCTTTACTACATGTCCGCAACCATCAATCCCATCCTTTATCACATCCTCTCGGCCAAGTTCCGCAAAGCTTTCAGGGTGAGTTCTCGATCGCATACAGCAGCCGATTCATTATGGCTTTCCAGGTTTTTTCCCCGTTTTTTTTCTTTGCCACCCTCCTTCCTTTGAAAAGGAACGAGGCTGCTCTGTGTGTGCATGACAGTGTCAAACTTTAGTTAACATTTGTTGGGAATACCATTGCTTCAACTTCGCCAGAATGCTACCACAACTCAACAGCGTGATAAATTTGATATCCATTTCATTCACGAAAATACTATCCAGCAAGGAGTATGTTATAGAGTCAATGTGAAATGCGGACACTAATAGCCGAGCACGGCGGGATCGGGCGACGTTTATTGCCAGTCTGGGATCCTGATCGGGGTGGGATCTCGGTTCAAACCGTTGGATCTTCCTTATCCACCCAAACCAACTAATCGCATCCTAAGGAGGCTTATTTTGATTGCTTACTGATGATGGTATGGTCAAAGGGGACTTGTTAATATGTAACCCATTTCACCATTGCCATATTTACTCTCAAATGGGATTCGTACTGGATCGGACTCCAGCGAGCTTCTCAATCGTTAATTAGTCTCGACTCGCGGACTTGCGAGTAGACGGGCGATTCGAACGCCGATGCGAAAAGTCCAAGGCATCAAGGCATCGATGCAACAATAGTGCTTCTCGTACATTCGAATCGAGGTTATATTTGTTGAGAAAACGGGATGAACAAGACTGCGTGAAATTGCCCTTTGTGAAGGGAAAATGAGTGAATATTTCGAATACCATATCTAGAACGTGGTTAGAATTAGCGTCACTCACTCACTCACTCATCTGTATGCAGGGTATGGCAAAAAAAAGTGATCAACGACTTAACCCTAATATTTCTGCTCACACTGAAAATTTTCGAGAAATTTTCATTATGAATAGTGAGTATGTTTCCAGTTGATTCTCAAAATTTTGTCTGAATTTGGTGGGCTGAAGCAATACCATCAGCAATTATATAAAATAAGTTAGATTATGAGAATGGACTGAAGTCTCCGCTAGTATTGCTTCGGCGCAACGAATTAAAATTAAAATTTGAGAATCTGTTGGAAACAAACTCATATGCATTGTGAAAATTTCGCAAAAATAGCTCAAGTGTGAGTGGAGATGTTTAAGTTGAAAGTTCTTGGTCATTTTTTTTGTCCATACCCCGTATATTAGATGGTATTTTGCAGCAGTCCTTGCAGATTCTCCTTCATCGCATGCACCTCTCTCCCCGTCGTTTCCAGTAATGAAAAAAGGAGCAAAAAAAAAACCCTAAGACAGGGTTTCCCGAAAGTCACTTGGATCTGCGTTCTAAGGTATCTCTCAATTTTCCTGAATGTTACATGGACCTACCAGGGTAAGGAATGTATTTTTCTTACCAGTACATTCACAGATGAAAGTTTAAAAAGATACTGTTGGAGTGGCTTTCTGGTCAATGTAGATGCTCCTCTTCCGGAAGTGGTCATGAATGGAAGTGTAACGAGGTCCCTTTTTTTCCCACTGACAGGAGACCCTGGGGAGCAGTTGTTGCAAGGAAGGACCAGATTCACGTTTGTCCGACGGGACACGACTGAGCATGAATCCTATGACCACTAGGACGGGGTCTTCGCGTTGGCGTCAAGCCACCCTTAGGAATTCTATTGACGCATGAATACCACGAATTTCGTCTCTCTCAACTGAATTACTAAATGTGTTCAAATAAAAAAGGTGTCACGACAATAATGTGGCCAAATCCGCAGTGAGCGCTCGAATCGCTTAATTGTAGGCTTCTTAATTGCATTGGATATGAATGCAGGAGTCCGATAGAGTATTCTCATTGCATTTGATCTTGTTACTGGAGTCCCTGTGGAGTACCCTTCCCCCCCCCCCCGGGGTTCATTCGTGGAAAGAGCATGGAACTAAGCCGAAAAGTTTCTTTTTTGCTTCTTATCAGTTTTTCTACTTTATCATCAACTTAGAAGTAGGAAAGAAAGTAGTCGAGCAAACTCCAGATCGAGGTCTCTTTTAAATGTATTGTCCTGGTTGCTGCGAGAGGGGGGGATATGTAAAGCGAGGGAAGCACAGAATAGAATGGGTCAAGAAAAGACATATAAAGAAAAGGATGACTTGGGTGAAGGAGGGTCCTGGACGAGCATCCGATCCGCCGTGCTGCTCTATCACAGATTGTGAGTTGCAAATTAATTTTATATTTAAGTTTTATTGAATAAAATGAATCCAAGAAAAAATAGACAAGATAAAATGTTTCTAAGATGCGGGAACTATCCCAAGTAACAAAGTATGTTGATGAAACGTTTCCGAAATGTTGCCTATGTTGCTCCATGTTGCAAGTTGATCTACAACATTGATAAAACATTGCTTCAATGTTTTCACTTGGAATGTTGCTACGACACTTCTACGAATGTCATTGCAACATTTGCAATATTGCAATATTGAGAGAATTTTGACACTCTTGACATCGACAACGTAGCGACAACATTCTAATACAACATGGACTTAAAAGTTTTAGGGAATGATAAAGTTGTCCTCCTTGCCATGAGATGGAGGCGTAGGTCTCGCTTTTCTCACAGTGCACAAAAGTGCCCTCCTCCCTTTCCGTGGAATCGTCCCGCACAGGAATGTTTAGTACCTTGCCAGATGTTTCGCATTGTCTCATTATAGGAACCAATGAACACGGACACATCATCACTTGTTATCCTCATATTCGAGACAGATTCATGGGGTCAAGATTCTCTTATTCCCAAAAAGAACCCTTTCCAAGAACTCGTCGGTTTTATCCCACAGGACATTAAAAACGATGGTAGAGAGTCTGTGATCTCAATCCTTCATATCTTTATCCTGAGAATAAAACGAGGAGAAGGACTGATTTCGTGGACACTCCATAGAACATTGCGGTCGGACCTTTTCCTGTAATGTGCTATATTTAGCACAACCAAGGGAAGATCAACTCCAAAAATGGACTATCTCCTGCCTGTGAATGATACAGATACTGTATTATGCATGGGTAGGGGTTACACCAGTACAGGCTTCGTCCTGTTGATGAGAATGTCTGAGTAGAGAGGTAAAGTATATGGTACGAAATAATGAAATGAATAATTCAATATTGGTCGAATATCGGTCCAGTTCAGGGTCAGTGAAGCCTATGCTTTTCCGTAATGCCAATATAGGCCCTGATTAGGAGCCAATGAAGCAACGTTTTTAATCAACATTGCAGCAACATAAATCCTGAAACGTTTCTGCAACGTATATGTAATGAATAAGTAACGATTTGGAACCTAAATGCAATGTTCCTTCGCAACATTTGAGCAACGTTGACGTTTCGGACATTTACACATAGATGCAACGTTTTTCACCAACATTTCCTAAACGTTGCTGGAATATCTTGTGTTACTTGGGATCTCGTGACTCATTTGAGTCATGGTAAAAAATATATAAATAATAACAATAACGAGGCGAATGTTCAAAGCAATGGCGTTCCTGCAAACAAAAATAGAAAACACCAAAAAGAAAATGGAGCTGATATCCCAGACATCAGCCTTCTGCTATGAATGCTTATCTACGATTTATGCAAAAGGATTCATGGCGTGACAAGGGAAGCATTAAGGAAAGAAGATGGACGTTCTTCAGGGAATGAAAAGGGGTTCATCAAGAGGATTGCATTAAAGTAGTGTGGCGATCCAAGGACAATACAAGAGTGAGCGTCGCTCCTGCCGCCTCGTTTGCATGGGAAAGGGCACATTTTACGAGATGCATGAACGTTCCTTTCTCGCTTTCTAGATGGCACATCAGTCCCCATCCTGACCCGTTCTCCGTCTTGCTATCTCTCCGGTCCTTCGACTCAAAAATTTCCATCCCCAAGAACTGTATACTCTGGAAAGGCACAACGAATACGACACACCCCTCCCCCACGAGTGCCTAACTTCAACTCACGAGCTCTCGAGCGAGAGAAGAGAACTATCTTAGGCCTTGACCTTGATGCAGGCTAGGTAATTACGAGCGAGTGTTATACGCAAGCATTGTGGGTCTCAAGAACAAAATATGATCCGCAAACTCAGGGAAAAGTAGTCTCCGAGCTATCATGATCCCTTCCTCCTTGGAATAAACGAGCATTTGGGGGGAAGCTGAGAGTGACTGAGACGCTGCACGATTGATTGACCAAGACAACCCCACTTTCCTCTTCTGTAGGACCTGGGCTCTTTCAAGACACGTTTGGATGGCGGAAACAGCCGTGTTTCGGACCTGGATGCAGATCGCATGCTGAAGTTCTGAATCACCCCTTCTCCACCCAAATTATTGTACATAGGTGTATAGTCTATCCTGCCAAACCTTGGTACGCTAGCATGGCCTCTTATATGGTGGCTCAGTAATCAGCTAGTGACTCCCCTGGTCAATGCCTCAGAAAATGGCTACAAGGCCATCGTTGCCGGACCTAGGTCTAAGACGGATATTTTCTCCGGAGAAGTCCGAGTAAAAAGTAAACATTAAACAGCATTAAAACCATTTATAGGGAGACTGAAAAAAAAACGATATACAGTTTTCTGCAGGAGAAAGCAAAATTCGTAAATTTCCACCAAAAATGGTGGGATAGATAAACTCTTGACATTGGACTTATTTATACAAGGTGTTGAGATGGTTGTGTGTGTCGTTTTTTTTCCAGAACAATTCTTTGAGCCATGCATTGTCCCGTTACAAAGTTTACAGGTGGATCACACCTCAAGTGCAGTTATGGTCAATATTCTATCCTCTCAAAATTCAATTGAAGCAATTTGCTCCATTTTGCCACCTTGCCACCAAACCGATTTTATTATATGTATATATTTCCAAAGGTTGTACTTAGACTAGCTAAAAAAAAAAGTAACTTTTTTTCATATCTAAGCGATTTCAAAAAGTTAGGTTTGGTTAAGCTAGGCTGGTTAGGTTTGCTCATTTTTTGGCGTTAAACCAATTTTTATCAAATTCATATATTTTTTAAATTGGCTACACTTTTGAAATAAAAAAAATGTTTTTTTTTTTATTTTAAATTATATCTAAATGAGAAGGGTTTCAAAAACTTAGATATGTTGGGTTAGGTTAAATCTTTCTTGCAATTTCTACTGGGACTTCACATAAATTAGTTCCACCCCTCCCAAAAAATACAGGGAGAATTTCAACTCCTTTGAGGTCAATTTGACTTTGCCCAGAAACTGAAAGAGTGTAATGAAAAATTGTCATTTATGATTCCCAATGGCATGAGCTTATGTTCATTTACAATGTAATGATCTTCATTCATAATATGAACTTTTTCTTTTGAATTTTATTTTTGGCACGCAACTTGAATTAAAACTCACTTTTCTCGACCTCCGTTTGTAGTACAGAAAAACTTTTTTGTCTGCTGGCTATTTTCAAAATAATCCGACCGTTTGCTTTCATTGAATTCTGAGATGGACGAGCACGGAAGGTGGAGGTAGAGGGATGGAATGATCCACCTCTAAACAGTGTAAATGGGCATTGCACGACTTAAGCAGGGATGCTGAAAAAAGCTGAAATGCCTCTCGACACCTTGTAACCGTTCAATGTCGATCGCATAGTCAATGTATTAATTTGTTAGCATTAGTGAAGCTGTGCTTCTCCCATAGAAAACGGTAGAGCTATCTTTTTTTTAAATCACCCAATATATGATACCTTCACCCCTCAGGTGCCGCACGCCAATGTCTCGCGGATGAATGAAAGGCGAAGTCACCCTCTTCCTTTGTCGGAAGGAGACAGATGATTAAATGACCCCTCTGAGGATTAGAAGTGTAACAAGGTTGGGCTGGATAGACTGTAAAAAGTATGGCTTAGCACATCTGGCAAGAATTCACTGCAGTCTAATTGCTTACGTTTTACGCTTGTTTGAATGAAGCACTTAGTATCGGTTTACCGGTATTGCGGGTTTCACCTCTTGTTTGCATTCGAGTCGGATTTCATTCCTTCACCCTGGTGTTCGAAAAATTAAAGTGTGACCATTACTCCCGTGCCTATGTTTTTTATTCTGACAGAATCCCGAAACTGAAGTGTGCAGGCAACAACGCTATTGCCGTCGCAAGAGGAAGGAAGAGATTCCTAGGACCTTTTTAAAGCCAAATTTTAATTAGATCGATACGCTCGTACCATAAATACCCTTAAAGGAGGAGGCGCACAGTCGAGCGCTCAATCTTCACTCGAAAAGGCAATAAGGGCAGAAATGCCTCTGCAGGTCGCAACCTAAATCTTGGAATAAGATAGGTAAAAGCAAATAACTGAGCAACCGTTGCACAGTGGTCAAGACGAAGGAAATGTGGCAAAAAAGTAGAATTTTAAAAGTAACACGACTTCGCTGATATTCACAAATATGATGCTGATAATATGCAGGAACTGAGTTCCAGTGCTTCTCGAAGTATAGACAACGGGGTTTCAAAAAATATGTGGATTCATATAAGGGTGCTTTTCTGCACACCAACCTAACGAAACTAACCATTCATAGAGGGAGTCATCATCCATTCTCCAGTTACTACGCAATGACAAATTTTATGTATTTGATGACATAAACAGGATCTTGGTATTGTCTTGAACTCTGTCAAACTGGGATATTTTGTTTCAAGCTATCAGTTATTATTTTTTAAATGCCAAAGTAGAGTAAGCATTCAGTATAAAGTTTTCCATTTTCAGTATCTTCATGATGCTGAAAGCTGCCATTCCCCACCATTCCCCACGCTGACTTTAGTTTGTGGACTTTGTATGGTAACTTAGCCACTGGTTCTTGGTGAAAGCTCTTGCCTCTTTTAAAAATATGTTCATATTTCTGCCGTCATTGTGCTTGAACTTCATTACGATTCTGTCCACGGTCTCTGAAATCATCAAGAATTATAGGATGTGGGTTGAATAGTGGATGTGAGTTAACTCTTTCCCAGCTTCCACATGTCGCTGTCGCGTTATCAGAAAGAAAACATTTCAAGGAAACTGCTCAAATTATTCTAGATGAGAAAAAAGATCAGCAGATCGCCTCATTGACTCCTTGAATGGTGAAGTTTTTCACAAAGGCAACCACTATTGGCAATATTTCAAATACATCATCAGATGCATTTCACAAGGATAGATGGGAAGGTGGTTAATGCAGTATCTGGATTCAGATAATCCCAAGTATGTTATTCAAAGCCATCTGAAATGAATTACATAAAATAGAATACGTCTCGTCTCTCTTGGTTCACAAGGATCGGCTCCATTACGACATATCATCCCTGCACCTTTGATTTCGCATCTTCGAGTGCCTCTTTCATATTGCCTATAGCTTGGACTTCCGAGCATGGCAAATGAGGACTAAAGAAAACAAGACTTTCAATCAAGAAAAGGCTAAGATTCAAAACCAGTTCAGAAGCTTCATCGGACTAATTGTAGACAAACCAAAAGGGGTGGCTCTGGTATAAGCAATTATAGGAATACAGGAAGACGTTCTTCGAATGTCCAAAAACCTTTGCAATCAACACTGGCATAAATCAGAATCTCATTGCAACCTTTCAGGTGTACTGCTCAGAATCTTACTCTTTCGACTTGAAGCTTCATGATTCGTACCCCTTCACTGTCTCTCTTCATAACGCCCTATCCATGGAAGTGATACGATCGGAAACTTTATGCTGCTAATAGGGATGTGCTCGAAAGGAGGTCAAGAAGCCAGACATAAAGATAAATCCTACTAGCTACATCACTCAAGGAAAAATTCCAAACTGCATACAATCACTGATCAACTGAGCTTCCGGTAAATCACGAGTGATTCCTTGATAGTATAATTTTTTCCAAAGCAAAAATGTAGCGAGAAGCCTTTATCGCAGCAAATGTTGGCTCTCCGTCCTTTTTAAATCGAATCAGTAACCGAGTCCAATCCTGATTATTATTGTAATGAAATTCCTCCAGGAAACAAGTTGGATTTTCATATTACAGAGTTTACTGATTCCCATAGCGTAACGTTCTAACGCATGAACAGACCAGTATCAAAAAGAGAAAACAGTCCAACCGAAAAATGCACGTGAATTAAGGAACAAAAAAAAAGAGCTCCGATTATTTATTTTCTGTATGGTATCGTATTGGGATGTAAATAGTCTATATGCAATAGTTCTTCACATTTCCTTCGATGGAACAAATAAATATGCTTTATGCAATTTTTTCACATTTTTCCCAAACAATTGCTATGATGCGCGACTTCATGCCCACCCTGTATTAGATTATCCCTTTGTACATACGCTAGAGGAGGATAAATTAACTACGTAAGTACAGGGCAATAGAGCAATTATTGCTCACACTGAGATTACAGAATCTTTCCGGTGGCAACTGGACTTGACCACCAGAGTACAAACATCAATGACACATAATCCTGCGCTATTCTCTGCAGGAAAACACAATTTTATTCATTAAGCAAAACCGTTCGATAATGGGCACCCAGACAGTCTCAATTTATAAGTTCATTCGGCAATCTTCCCATTTGCGACCATTTTTTCCAAGTGAGAGACAATCAGAAAATTTTAAATTTCGTCTTGACAAGCGACTCATGTGATTCAAGAAGCTTCTGCTAAAAAACATTCAGAGCTGCTTTCATGACCAACCAAAATGCTTTATTTTCAATGCACTCATCCAGGATCAGTGCAAAATTTGCATATAAAAACGCACGCACAGACATATAAAGCACAAAGATACTCAATATTGCAGAGATCATTCCTGAAGGACTGTAATTACAGCCTTCGGTATTTCTTTGGCAAAGAACGACCATGTTTTCTCATTGTATAGATATCACCATTGAAACTGAAGAAATGATTTAACAGCTAGCGTTGATCCACTATAACATCTAGCAATGACCACTGATAACAATGATTAACATATCATCTAGAGAAATAACATGGCACTCTGCATCAACTGCTTCTTTATTGCTCTGGTGATTGCACTTCACACTGCTTCCTCTTCAGTACGGTTTTCACCAAGTTTCTGATTATGCTCTAATGCATTGAAGCGGACAACTGACTTTCTCCTCTTCATCTTGCCATGATTTTTTAATGCATTTTTCTTCCAAACCCCATTCATGATGTTGCCTGTTCCTGCTCTGGTATGGCCTCTCTTGTTCTTTATTGAAGTCTTCTTTTGATGAAAGGCAATCTTCAGAGTCTGTTTATGGAACACAGAATTGACTTTTTTGTTCACAGTTGCTTTAATCTGTTCTTGTTCAGAATTCCTCTTACAAGAATTCTTCCACTTTCCACGAATTGACTTAGCAAGGCGGATGGTCAAGGGTGAGTATTCAGCAGAGAAGTGTTCCTTTCGTATGTGAGACAGCAGATAGTCCTTACCCAATCCTGGATTCTCCTGATCGGTAGGTGAAACGCTTTTGCTACAAACTGGACAAATCCAAGTATTTATGCCTTCCCCACTCATTACTTTCAATTTAACAATAAGCAGATTCAAGTAATGAGCAGTGAAGACATGGTCCCTTCTATTCCGAGGGGTAGTGAGGATCGTTGGACAATAGGGACACTCATAAACCTTGTTTTTCTTGCATTGATGGTGCAGCTGGACATCATAATGTGAAGACAGGGCACTTTCACAAAAGTTGCAGAAGTCTACCAACTCCTCCCTGTGAACCTGCTTCACATGGTTTTTTGCTGATGAACCATCTAGAGGCAATCTCGTTGAGCAAAAGGGACAGAGCCAGAAAAATATTGGTGTGAAACCATGATGTTCCTCCATGTGTCTAAACGCATAAAAGCTACTCCCAAAAGTTTGCAGACACTGGGAGCATTGAGTCATCGATGAGGAGCAATATGAAACCCTGTGTTCAATGAAACGCCTTTCAGATGCAATGCTCTTATGACAGTCAGGACATTTCTTCTGATCCTGAAAAGCAATACAAGGACTGCTACATCTGTTTGGTAACACATCAGAATAAGCACGGAGTAAGAAGTTAAACTCTGCCTTACTTTCAACCTTGGACAATTCAGATGAATACCACAGTTCTGGTCCAGCTGAAACACCTCAGAGCACTCTCCACACAATTCTTGATTGTGAGTGGACTGCAAATGGAGTCTAAGAAGGAAGTTCCCAGTAAACTCTTCTGAACAAGTGGGACATGTCACAACTCCTGCACCCTATAAAATACAGATGCAAACATTGAGCATACATCTAGAAATTGGATGAACATGAACTCTGAGGACTTCTAGTCTAGTTTGGGTATGGGAGACCAAGGTTCAGTTTGGATACAATTTATGAGTAGACAAGGAATCCTTGTCCAGATGGCTGTGAAGTCAAATAAAATCCAAAAAGAACAGCACAATGGCCAGTAAGTTAAAAGTATGACCTGAATTCCATCAGTGAGGAGTGCAACGTGGTTTCTTGTTCTTCAGGCAAGTTAGGTAAATCATCTTCAAACACTTCTCAGTAGCCAATTTTTTAAACTCAATTTATAGCCTTCCACAACCTAATTTGTCATGTACATTTGATAACTTTGACATCACAATTGACACCTTGTAAGATTGTGCAAGCTCTGGTTCTATACCTGATTATGAAATATGACAACAAGGCATCATCCATTGACATAGCAGACATGTCCATCTTGGCAAGAATAGTCTATTTTCAACACTTAATTCAGTATCTGAAGTGCAGCAAGTCTGATTTGGGAAGTCCTGTCATAGTATTTTCCAGGAATACTTAAATTGTTTAAATCTCATTTTATTTTTATTTTTACCTCAGTTGTCCAAACACCATTTATTTCAATTAAAAAAAAGATACTTTTGGTACATAGGTAGAAATACTATGATAAAGAAATAAAAAATCATGCCAATATCATCTTTTAGCTAGGAGCAGAATTGTTGGTTTCAAAGGCAAGGTAGTGACAGTGCAAGTGAGAATCATCGAAGTATTGTGATGTGTAATTAAAAGCTCCAAGTCTGACTCATCAAACAATCTAAATGAGTGTGCTATTGAATTCAGCCCTTTCAAGTAAATCCTTCTGCATCTAGCTCACCTTTAGATAGGCTAGATATAGAGAGAAATCAATAGAAAGATATTGGGAAGGGCTTGGACAGGGCTTTCCACTAGCATAGAGTACTTTTGGGGAAAGTGACTCCAGGCATTGAATTTTTTGGCAAACAAAAGGGGAAATTTTTTTAAATACTTCAAATCCAATTTACTTAAATTTAAATGCAAGTTACAAAGAGTCAGAAACTTGTCTTAATATATGAAGGTCAGAAGTGTATTTATCAAGTTCACAATAGTTAAATTTGAGTTTCTATCTGTAACACTAGAAAATTTGCTTAGAAACAGGACCACTCTCCAAATAGCATCAATAGGAAACATGCCTGAAGCCCCATATCCTCTCTGCAGGGTGTCCCATAAGTCAAGCATCATAGTGAAATTCATATTTTATAATGACACTAAAAAACATATGTTCAACATGTTCGCCATTATTCTTAATGCATTTTCTCAAGCAATGCTACCATTCTGCTTGAACATTCTTCAACTTTGCGTTATTGGCTGCCAATACAGATAGTCATTATTGAATCTCTCAGCAACCTCTCACTGACAGTGTCCCACACATTTGTCCTTGCTTATTGACATCTTCCACTATCAGTTTCAATACTCAATTTCTGGAAAAAAAAAAAAAACAAAGCAAAAAAAACTGAAATAACAGAAATCAAAACTTGAATTTTCCCATGATGCTTGACTTATGGGACACCCTGCATGCATTCTTTACTCTATGGCCAAGAATAAATTCACCTTAAAGGAATGAATATTAGAGTAAAGCATTGAATGCAAACATAATCTTGATGATTGGTTAGGGAATGGAATGCATGAGAAGCGAAACACAGAAGCAGTTCAGCAATAAGATGAAAATACACATGAAATTGTTCAAGGGAGGAGAAACTCACTGGATGGACTGACACAAGATGCTCTCTCAATGCCTTTGCATGGGAAAGCAGCAGACCACACTGTGGACACTGGGTCCAAGATCTGGCAATCTTTCGAGGACTACTCTGCAGTAAGGAGGTTGTACTCTTGGGAACAATATGGTTGACCTGAAGCAGAGAGTTTACATCATATAGCTTGAAAGAAAAGAGACATGAAATGCAATATGAAAAGAATGCTGAGTCTCAGAAATCTTGCTTACAGTAGATGAGGAAGCAATAATTCCATCATGAGAGACTGATGTTGAAGTTGTGTGCATCAGAGAATGCTGATCTGTTGAGCCATGTCTTTCCACTTCAGGAATATTCTGAGATGCAATTGGAAGATCATCAGCATGGGTTGGATGTTCAGATTCATTGTTCAGAGTTGGAAAGTGTCGTAGCTGAAGGGATTCAGCAGCTTCAAATACATGGAAAAAAACCTCAATAGTGGTTTCTAACCAGCCATAATACATGAAGTGAAGGACTCCTGCCAATGCATCAGAGGGAATGAAAGGGAAGCAGAGGATAACATCTTCCTTGCCATGCTTCCCAAGTTCCTTCTTGAAGTAGTCACTGTGAGCTGCCAAGAGAGCAGCATTGGCACCAAAAACATCTCCCTCACTCGAGACCAAGGTCACATCTGTCAATTGTTTGCATGAACTCCAGTCATGGATCACATTATTAGGTACAGATTCCACCACTGTCCTGCTCTTCATTGTATCGTTTACACATCAGCCCATTTCTTAGAGCTCATCACATCCCTTGGAGACATTTGTGCATGACAGGGAAAGCACGATTGCAAATGCACCAGAATTGCTTCAGTGGACTCTACACTCTCCTAATGCAGCAAAGATACTTTTGCTCACTCTAGCCTAAAGATCCATTGTTAACATATGTGACACTAGTTACTAATTGGACAAAGGCATACAACACCAACAGAAAGTGAAAAAGCTTCAATCTTATTTAAACATCCTTATCTTCTGCACAGAAAGCAACACCCCACATTGCTACATAAGTTTACAGTGCAGTTATAGCCAAATGCACAAATGCTGGGATTGGCTGATAGCCCTGCTCTACTGATTAGAGCAAGCCAGAAAATGACTTGATGGCACTTTCCTCCCTTTTAAACAATAAATCAAATTAGCGAAAATCACAGAGATTTATTCCTTTCAAGTGAAAACACAACCAAAGGAGATTCAAATCTTGTACTTTGGCAAGACAATTCATGAGTTTCTACCAAAGCTAAATAGAAACAGGAATCTGTTTTGCAAACAGAATTCACAAGAGATTCAGAGAATCTTCTAATTTGGTTCTGCCAAACTCATGTATTTTTCAATGGGCTGCTCAGTTTGTACTGTAATGTTTCACATAACAAATGAACAAGAAACCACCTCCAACACTTCTAAAATTACAAATCACAGGACGGAATTTATTTAAGTCACCCAAAGATGAGGCACATTGACTCTTTGTATTGAAAGTCAACATTGTTCTTCACAAATGTAAGGCAACAATTCCATAATTACTACACTCATTCACTTTCCTCATTATGTGGAAGCCCATCATGAACAGCATTACTTATATCAGCACCTTTGCTGTCAAACTTTATTGCTTTCTTTGGTAGAGCCACTCCGCATCAAACCTGGTTTGCCAATGAAGGAGACACATGTGACTTGGAATGAAGATGGAACTACTTCTTGGTAACATGGCTCTGCAAGAAAATGAAATAAAAGAAAAATATGAACTTCAATGAGACAGGAAAAAGGCACTATAAACAAGTAATGAAAGATACCTACACTTCTAGTGACTGGCCTTGTTGACCTGGAGCTGTTCCGAGTAATGGGCCCAGACTGACGAGGCATTTTCTGAGCTCGAGGAGATCTACTGGCCGAATGGGAAAGCTGTTCTCTCTTCCTTCCTTTCCAGTGCCTGCCCTGAGATTCATGGTTCAAAGATGTTTCTTCTTGGTTAATCCTGTCTTCCCCTTCCTCTCCAATTGTTGTTGGTGAGCCTCCACTTTGGTGTAAACTCCCCTCAACATGGTTTGCAGGGTCCTTTCCATTAACTTTGTCTATTACAGGTAGAACAATGGAATCATTACTTCTTTGTTGGATTACTGGGCTTAATCCTTGATTTATGACATTTTCTTTATCTCCACCATATACAGCAATGTCTTTGGTTTCTTCTGTAGGATTGGCCTCTTCTGATTCAAGAGTTGCTTTTTCACTTTCACCACATTCATCATTACCCATGTTCTCTGGAGCATGAATGACCAACTCTGAATTTATTTTCCTCCTTCCATCACCAACATGCACTTCATCATCCTCTGGACCAGACTTTGCCTCTGCTGATGCAACAACTAATTGTGGAGTGTCTGAAATGTCTTTATGCGCTTCATCTCCTGCAGGTATCATAGAATTATTAAGGCCAATTTCCTGTGAATCTTCAGTACAAATGCTGTGATTCAGCTGAGGTGTGAGGATATCTGGTGTAAACTTTGTTTGATCCATTTCCGTTTTCTCAGAATTCAACGTTTCTTTTTCAGTCATGGGGATAGAAATCTTGCAATCAGAAACATCTAGGCAACTGGTGACTCCACAGTTACTAACAGGATCATAGACCCTGTCCTCTTTTATTTTCTCAGTACCTACAGAGATATTTGCAAGCTCATTCAAGTCCACAATGCTTGTTTCAAGGCCACCATCTAAGACCACTCCTGACTCAACATCATCTTTCACTTTATTAATTGTATCTTCTGTAGCCACTGTGGGATTCTTATGATCAATTTTCTGGAAATTTTTAGCACAAACACTGTCATTCAGCTGAGATTCAAGGATATCTGACCCTAACTCTGTTTGATTCAACTCTGTCTCCTTGTACATTGAAGTAACATTGTCAGTGAGGGAGACTGGAATCTTGCTGCACTTGGAAGCTTCTGTGCTACTAGACACTCCATTACATGCAGGAACATGGTCACTATTCTTGCCCTGTTTTTCTGCACTTATAGTGTTAGGTACTAGTTCATTCAATTCTACTCTGCTGGTTCCAAGGCAGTTCTCCACATCTACTACATTGCTTGAGCTGCTGCAGTTACTCACTGGCCTTTGTGGCACTTCATGCTCCAAAGTCTCATCACATAGCTCTTGAGTCTCAGTCTCCATTTGCATCCCATCTTCTGGTACTTTGTCTGAGGGACTCTCAGAAAGAAAAGCAGAATAAGGGAATCCTTCAATTCCAAGAGCCTGAGCAGCATCAAACACATCCCATAACTGTCTTTGTTCTACTTCCATCTGGCCGGAATGAATGAATTGCAATATGCAAGAGAGAGGCCCTGAGGCAATATCAGGGAGACAGACCACAATGTCTGATTTGACATGATGCCTTATGAGCTCCTTCCGTAGATAGGCACTAAACACAGCGAGTAAGGCAGCATTAGCTCTGAACAGTTCTCCATCTGATGAGAATATTGATATACCTTCCATGTGAGGGAAGCTTACACAAGTGTAGCTATACTGTTCTTTGAGATGAGCAGACATTTTTCTTTTATGCAAAGTTCTCACACATTCCATCCCCTGTTCTTTTGTCAATGCTCAACCAACTATTGAGCACTCCATGTCACAAATCTATCAAATAAACATGAATCATAATCAAACAGATGAATGTCTACTTTTTCAATACCACAATTAAATTCAGGTTTAAAAAATTGATGGCTAATTACTAGAGATAGACAGTTATATTGGATGCTGATATATATCAGTCGATATGGGCATATCTGTGAGTATTCACGTCAGTTCTTTCAAACTTTCAATTTATGCCAATATCAGAAGTAGAGTTTTGTTCGATCTATACAGTAAAAGAAAATATGACGGGGACTATCTTTTCAGCACCCACATGGAAACCCTGAGATGTGTGATACAGCCATTATGGCATGATCCAAGAGGTGAGGAATCACAGGCCTTTTGCTCTGCTTATATATCAGGTATTGGCTTCATATTTTGGTCAATATCGAAATCCATAAAATCCAATATTAGTCTATCTCAACTAATTACCAATCCTGATAAACATGCCAAAAACTATTTCAAAAGATAGATGAGGTGGAATTAGGGATGGGGCTGTCAATTGACCACCTTTTAATTGACCATTATTGACCACTAATTTTTTTAATTCAGTGAATTAATATATTTTTATAGAACTCATAACTGTGGTCATTTATCCCCAGCACTAAAACCAAAGAGCCAGTTAAATTTTTAAGATTTGTTCATGCAGCCTGCCAAACACCTAGATTGTGGCACCTGTTGTGTAGGAAAACATTTTAGCAAATGCTCAAACTACCATGACCTTTCACCTGAGTGATGCAGCCTGAGTGATAGCTTGCTGTTCAAAGTTTTATAGCCTCAAGGACTTTCAAAGTTAAAGTTCAAGATCTAAGTAACAGCTTTAGAACTTTAGTTTTGTGCAAGGTCTTAATCTAGCTATGAAACATGATTCATTACTGTTTACCCAATAGATTGCATGAGTTGGAACATTAAATTTATCTGAGCAATGAGATGTTGACTGGTCAACAATGAGATGTTGATTGGTCATTTATGATCATATAGTCATAAGGCCTAACCTCTTGTTGGGTTCATAACCATTATTTTCTGCAAATGGTCTAAAATGATCATGTTGACCAGTCAACTTCCCATCCCTAGTCTATCACTTGTGAGTCATGACATATAATGGTGCAAAAACTACGAAGGAAAAAATAAATAAATAAAAGTTGGTCCTATTTACCAAAATTGACCATAGTTGACTGGCCATATTGACTGGTCAATTGACATGTTTTTAATTCACTGGTCAATAACCCATCCCTAGGTGGAATCCAAAAATGGATGTTCTGTCTTCCCTGGTTCATAATGTATCAGGTACAAGGAGATTAGAACAACAAAAATAGCTTTGGATTATGGTCATTGTGAACATCACAGTAACTACAGGTGTTAAGTATCCTGCCATCTGATTGATAATTTTTTTTTTTTCTTCAAAAATTACATGTTCCATCCCTTAATTAAGCTTTTCTTTGCTTGGATATTTGCTTGGACCAAGCATAGAACTTTGAGATATGTGGAATTTCAAATCATTGAGATTCAAGTTAATGAGTTTTTACTGTACATACAGGTATGGGAGTGTTAATATTTTTTGTTGTTACCACCAGCGACCTAAACATCTTCAAGTTAATACAGAGAACCTTTCACAAACAAGAAAGGAGCAACTTTTGGTTACAATCAACATCCTATCCAAAGCACTGATTCCCTGCACAATGCTGATGGTAACAAAGTGTAATGAAAAAAGCAACATTGAAAAAAAAAGTTCAGCAGAATTCATCGTTTAGATGTTAGGTGACATCTAAAAGATGGGGATCCTAAATAAAATTGAATGAACTTTCACACAGGGCAGTCAGTCTTTCCACTACCATATTTGCTGATGCTGTATATGGGCAAACTTTGGTTTCCAGAATTATCATTGTATAATGATGCATGAAAGCAATTGAACAGGATCTCATGAACATATGAAATCCTTCACTTGCTTAAATTCTTTCCCACATATTCTTTGGTTGCTTCATTTTTTCCTTCAATCCATGATGGAGAAATAAAACTCACTCTCACAGCACACGCTACATGAAATATAATAGCTTGTATTCTGCCTGATTACTGAACATCCCACACAGATCCAGTCTGGAAATAAAAATTTGTATGGCTAAATCACACACTAAAAATGATCATGATATCAAATGTGACTCATGCAATTATTGTAATCTATACTGGGGGGATACATCTATAATAGATAACCTATAATATACCAAATGGAAAAATTACAAATACATCTGTATTCCTTTACCTTCTACCTTTAGTCCACAAGCATGTACTCTGATTTTGATTTTCTTAAAATTGTTAAACTACAAATGAACAGATCTTCCCCTTCATGCACAGATACCTAGATATAATGGTAAATAGCTTCACACATGGAAAATTTCACTGGAGTTTTGCAAGATGCTCATTTTTCATTGCAGAGGACTTGCTGAACAAGGGTCAGGGTCCATAATGCAAGTGCATGATCTCTCTGCATACTCAGGTCTACTGAGAGATGTTTGTCTGCCTGAAAGTGTACTGAAGTGAGATTTGAAAAAAAAAAGCCTGTGACACTTTTTGCATGCAAAACCAAGCCCTTTTACCATACTTGTTTCTTCACAAAGTCAAGCAAGGGAAAATAAGCCTTAATTTTTTTGTTTTGCTATTTTATATAGGGGAGGGGCATGCATGGCAATTCATAGGGGCTCAGGGTGCTAAAATCACCCCAACAAATTGGCAGAAGGGGCTCACAGCAAGGACAGCAAGGACACGAGAATAAGGGATGCAGGCAAATGAGTACTGTCTCTGAGCCCCCTCCATATTTCTCAACAAATTGGCACCTATGGAGATGGGAGTGGGGGGGGGGGCATATACATTCAGGTTTGTAGATATCATACTGAGATGGCTCTTTTGAAGGGTTAATAAATGTCCTAAGCCACAGTTACCCCTTCTCCAACATGATCCTACTAGTCACTCCCTTCATTGCAATAATTGGTTAGGCCTACATGCTTCACTTGGGGAGTGACTGAATGACTGAGTGACTGTGTAGAGTCTATTATGGCACCTCTACAATACATATTCAAATTGTATGGGTAAGGTTACCATACGTCCAGTTTTTTCAGAAATGGCCTCTTTGTATTATAAATCCGTCCAAGAGGAAGGCGTCCACTTTTAGGCTGTCCAAGTTATGGTAATCCTATGAAAGGGTCTAAACTGTCCTTTTGTCTCAGAGAACTATAGGCTTCAGGAACAAAGTAAGGGACAGAATGTCCTGCACTAGATGAAGGTATTTCAATATTTTTGTTTATGAACCTCCTAGCATCAAAAGGCATTGACACTTAATCTGCAGCAAGCTCATCTTTCATCTTCGGCCACAACTCAATGACAAATCAAGTGGAAATCAGGCCTTCACCAACAGAAGAACACTAATGACGCTGAACTTATAGAAAGCCGTGCACTCGCCGGTCATGCTCAAATTCAAATCTCAAACCGTCACGGTATAAGCAAATACCTAATCGCCCATTAAATACATCACAGTATTGAGTTTGAGCTTGATTGCCCAAGACCATTCGTGAACTTGTTCTTCCACTAATATCATCTACTTAAAATAAGAATTGGCAGTCAAATCGCCTCATTAGGGTTATAGGGGGAGCTATCGTTAAGGAACACTGAGTGGAGGAAAGGCTTGCCTTCAGGAGGTTGCCATGATGGGCCAGATGTCTCTCACCAGCTCCATCTATTGTGTATTAGAGTTCTTTCGCCTACTGGGTGTCTGGTCAATTCCTCTAATGGTTATTTCCCCGAATGGTCAGTTCCCGATGTTACGTAGCAATCTCACGGTCGCGGATGGAAGGCAAGCGACCGCACTGTCTCGTGTATGAATTAATCCCTCTCTTTCTGACTCTTCAAAAATTCAGATACTCATTAAGTGTTGTTGCTCAAATGAGCTGGTTGGCAGGACGAGAGCAACGGGTGATGATAAATGGG